GAATTGAATTTTAATTACCTACAAATGGATCATCCACGGCGGATTTTAACTGCAGGCCTCGTCTTCCTCTTCAGTGTTCTTATGGCTTCTTTTCTCTGAGAGTCAATGTTGTAGGCTTCGTGATGCAAACTCATTTTAATATTAAATTCAGAGGAAATGAGCTTTACAACTGTGGATCTTAGTATATGGAGTTTCCTCAATTCCGTGCTCCCTCTACACCATGGATAAGCAAAAGTTGACTGCAACACCACTAAGGAAATAGGCAAATATTTACACTCAGTTATATATTGGGTGCATATTTTCCCTCTTTTTTACCTATTTAAAATCTGTCAGTGTTCCTAATGGCCATGTATGCACCTGAGAAATCATATGTGGCATTTATGTGTAACAGAGGACTCATTTTTTCCCGTCACTTATCTCGTGTTTCACGTATGATGTTAGTGCTGTGGTGGAAAACTAAAATCCTGCATTAGGCTTCTTAGTAGCACCGCTTGAGTCAGTGTCAGCTTTTATTTAGAGATATTTGACAATATATCAGATACACTTCAGGGATTATTTGCTTTAATGAGTGAAATAACTTGGCTTTTGAGAAGATGATATTTATAAAATCACTGTAATGGGGGTATTGATTTCTAACTTGATTCTAGATCATGATTCTGAAAATAAAGCTCTGCATAGAGCATAGGAAAAGCCTGCTCTGACAATCAATGTAAGCTATTCTACACATATATCATGAAAGATATATAACAAAATAAAATAAATGAAATAGGTGGCCTAAATACATTTCCAGGTGTGTCATTTTCTGTGGAAGGGATGATTCACTGCAGTAAATATATGCATGAGTTCTGTTTGAATTTATCTTTTATTCTCCCTTAAAATATTTTGAAAAGCAATAATGAAGACATGATCATTATGCAAAATCCAAAGTTTATTGCTTCTATTTGGGGCTAAATTTTAAAATAAATATGTAAAATTGGATAAAATTTTGATCATGCTAGCAGTAAGTTTAAAAAACCATGTTGGCAATGTTTAATCACAAGGAAAATTTACTAGGGTATCTGTACACTGTGCTTATTTTTCCTAAAAGAAATGCAGAAATATTAACAGATGCCCATCCAGATGTGGTTTTAATTCTTTCTCCACATGACAATATTGGCTATTATTAAGTGACATCTAATCAAGTTGGATAGATATTTCTTGAAATGATGCATGGTATGCAGTGCATGCTGTCATTGTGCTTCCTGCCATTATGGAATAACGTGTCTTATTTGGAAATACAATGATCATTTCTGTTAAATCACGCTCAGTCGGCTTATATAATAACACCTATATTTTGTGAATCATTTCAGATTTCAGAGAGCTATGCCTTCTTACCACGAGAAGCGGTGACACGATTTCTAATGAGCTGCTCAGAGTGCCAGAAAAGAATGCATTTAAACCCAGATGGAACAGATCATAAAGGTAGCCGCAGTGTCAAATAGTGAGATTTAAAGTAATTTTATTCATAATGGCAATTTATATATCATATTTTTATAATAACGTGGTAGACTGAAAGAGTTCAACAAGTCAGCTCATCTCATTTATTCGAGTAGGAGGCAGTGAATTTTGAATATCCACTTACATAGTAATTCAGTGCCCATTCTTAGAAGAAAGACAGTTTCAACTGTGGCAAATGACATTTTTCCCTATAATAATGTTTTAATTTTCATTTATTATACATATTTCATGGTATTTTAGATATATTCAGCAACAAAACTGGTTTCTACCAATATCCTTTTAAATCTACCAATTTCTTGTCTCTAAAAATTATGAATAATGCACAATTACTTCACTAAAACTTTTCACATAAAAATTCTAATTTGGCTTTAGCTTTCATTAAAATTATCTAGACTATTTTCCTAAGTATGATTTTCTCTCAGAGATTATATTAATCTCAGACATATATTTAGGCCAGCTCATTCCTGTGTGTTGTAGGATGAGCAGCCTGGCCAAAAAAAGCAAAATTCCTTCGGCACTCAGGAAGTACATATAGAAAATAATTATGTAGCGAAGAGAAAAATATGAATAATTGGGTTTAATCACCATATTGGCTTTATTCGTTGTTAGTATATTTAAAAGCTCCTCTGTATTCAGAAATAATTAATTTATCCATACTGTTAATTTATGTCAATACACATTTGTAGAACCTTACCAGTTATTTTTTTCTACAATCCATCTACAATGCTACCAAGCTTTTAAACACTTGGTATCTAGAATCCTATTTCCATTTGGACAGACTGGATCATTCTGAAATTACAGGTAGAGTGTAGTATCACTTTCATTACCCATTAAAAATGTTTTATTACAGATAATGGAAAACCTCCCACTTTGGTGACCAGCATGATTGACTACAACATGCCAATTACCATGGCCTATATGAAACACATGAAACTGCAGCTGCTAAACTCACAGCAAGATGAGGTAAAATAAAAACATCTACGCTTTTATCACTTACAAATCAGAATGAAGTTAGATACCCATGAATATCATATTAAGCATGATGGAGTTTTGAAGTCAGTAATTTATTTTTTAATGAATGAATGTCACCAGGGTTGCACAGATGGGGAAAGTGGGCAGAGACTCCTAGTCTGTGATACAAAATCCCAGTCTTAACACATGTATCTCAGTGTAATGTGGAAATTTGTTCATTCCCGAGAAAGATTCATTTTCCTTAGTAGACCAACATTGAGCTAGCCTTGACAAAGTGCTAGTAAGTTCAGGGGAAAGAATTTCAGAGTAAAGTATCCCAAATAAGTGAGCTTCCAAGGAAATTTAAGTGCTAAAGCTATTTTGCCTGACAATCAGAAAAGTAGATTTGATAGGTGTTTCAAGTATAATAACTTCTCCACCATTCAAATGTTGCATATATTTTAAAGTTATTTTTAAGTTAAATGCTATTCTATATATTTGCTTGTTTACTTCTTTGCATTTTATGGAGACAATTTGTGGTGATTCTTCTTAATTGGAGGTGTTTTGATGTTGGAAATTATTCTATTTAATTTGCATAATGAGAATATAGCAATGTGCTGTCATGTACAAGATACTAAATGCATATTTTTTGAATATTCTTTAGAATTCTAGTTAGCTGGTCCATTTTGGTTGAAGTATTTCGAAAGCTGGGACTAAGTTATATAAGTGCCTTTTTTATATTCTCCAAAAGACATTACAATAGAAGATATACCATATTCTTGTTTACTAGATAATAGCCATTAATTAATAGAAACATTCAGATTATTTATATTAGAAGCAGGTCCTCAAGCTAATAAATTCTCTCTTAGAAATTCCTCTGGAACAGGAAATGTGGTTAAATATTTATTTTTCAAATGTAGAATTATTTGCTAAGGTATCTTTAAATTCTTTTAAAATTACTTTGTTTAGCTAACTTTACTCATAAAAATCAAATCAAATTTTTAGTTTTTTTATGTATTTGAGCAGGATTAACCTCAAAGTCATATTTATGAAATTTTTTGACTTTAACAGACTTCATTCAGGGTAAACTCCATTAAAATAATCCATATTAATGCAGTGACAGTATCAGATTACATATTGCCAGATGGCTACATATAAATAATTGAATAAATAGTAATAAAATCATTGGGTTAAAGACATCAAAGACAATTAAAAAAATATCAGTTTGTCCATCCCTGACAATGAAAAGAATTTATCTCCACAATTCATTATATAATAGAAAAAAAAAATTTCAATGTCTCATAAACTAGTTAGAGCTGTCAGATTATTTGTAGGAAGCTCATTTAAATGTTGATATGTTTATTTCTAGGCCAAAATGTAGGAAGATCCACTTTGTGCCAACAATGCAGCCCACATATGCTGATCCCTTCTGGCTTCTAAAAAAATCATAATTATTTTACACAAAAGAAATTAGATCCTTTTAAATTTATAACTACATTAGGAAAATCACTTACATTTTGAAAAGAAAACTAAATTGGATGTATACTTCCCTAAAATATTTAGATGACCAGTTAGATTATTTACAATTTTTTTAGAAAATTGACATTATTTAAAATAAGAAAGAGGTTAAGTAAGGGAAGTCACATTAAAATGGAATTTAAGTGAAATATTCCTGTGTGATAAATTAAATTTGAATAAACATTAATCCAAACAATTCAACCAATATTTATTCAGTGCCTTCTATGTATCTGGCACTCCCGGAGAAAGGCAGTGAATACATTGACAAAAATCCCGCTTTTATGAAGCTTATCTTCTAGTGGGGGTAACATACATTAAAGAAAATAATGATTGTAGGTATATAAGAAGATGCAAAACACTATTAAGAGAAATAAAGAAGGCCAGGAATGCCACTCCCTTTAGAACTAAGGATCACAATTTTAAAAGGCTTCACTGGGAATGTATCGTTTGAGCAGAAATGAAGGAAATGAAGTGTGTATATATGGAAGGGACATACACTATTGCAAGATTCTTGAGGCAGGTGCATGTTTGATAGCTATAGAAACAGCAATATAGTTCAACATGGTTGGGGCAGAATGAACAAGGAAGAGAAATATAGGAGAGGAGGTTAGAGAGTGGAAATCCAGGTTATGTAGACTTTGTATTTTAAGAACTTTGGATTTTACTCTGAGTAATAAGGGGAAGGTTCTGAGTTGAGAATCATATTATATGATCTATATTTGGACATAATCATGTGACCTGAGAACAGACTGAAGAAGAGAATGCAGAGACACCAGTAGAAGGTTATTGCAGAAATTAATGTGGGTGAAGAGTTAACAAAACCCTTTCCCTTTCTGCATCAGAATTTGGCCTTTGGGTAACCTTTAAACTTTGTTCCCCCTTAAAACTGACAAAATTGATGGCAATTGTGTTACTAGGCAACATTACTAATGGCCAAATGATCCCAATTGGTGAACTTCGTCAGAAGACTAGAAACACCTGATAAGAATCCTCAGGTTTTTTTCTGAGTTGGTTGATTCTTATAATTGACATGTCCCTTGTGGTGAACTTAGAATCATGAACTGTGGCATCATAAGAGATTTTTACCTATTTTGGGACATGGAGCTTCTTTGCCAGGTTCCCAACTTACCTTATATGAATACTCTTTTCTCACACCTGAACTATCACATGGAACATTAAAGAAAATAGATCTAGTTAACCTGGTCAATTGCTACATGACCCCTTCTCCAGGAAAGAGAAACACCTGATACTGCCCTGCTGGCAAACTGTTTTCTTTACCTCAATATTCTAGGTGAATCAGATGCGAAGTGTGGTCAATGGCAAGCATATGAGTATACATTTCAGTTGGATCCAACAAAAGCCCCTGATGGATGTTTCAGGTATAGGAAAGATGATGATAGTGGCTCGGATCAGAAGGGTAGTAGTTAAGGTGGTGAAGAGAGATGAGATTATGAATACATTTTAAAATTTATTGATAGATTGGATGTGAAGTGTGAAAGGAAGTCAAGAGCCAATGATGACTCCAAGATTTTTAATTTAAGCAAGCAGGGTAGAATTTCTATTAACTAGTATAGGAAAAGTCTCTACCCAGAACAGGTTTGAGGTATGATATTAGAAATTCAACTGTGACCTCTTGATTAGAAATCCAAGTAGATTTGGGAGGTTTATTAAACATTCAAGTAGATTTGTTAATTAGACGGTTGTCATGTAGCATTAAGAGCAAAGAACTCAGCTGGAGATAAGACCAGGCATCATAGGCAGGTAGTATAAGAAGCTATGTGCCTGAAGGTATTATCAAGGTAGTGAGTTTAAATTGAGGGACAAAGCCCAAAGACCTCTATTTAGGAAATTCCAGTGTTATGATATCTGGAAGATAAGGAGGAACCAATAGAGGATACTGAGAAAGAGTAGCCAGGAAAATCAGGAGAGTTTGTGAACTCATGGAGAATTAAAGAAAGCTTTTCAAGAAGTCTAGAGTAACATATTGTGTCAAATCAGCTTATAAGTCAATTAAAGAGAAGACTGAAAATTAAATTTGTATTTAGCCTTATCAAAGTCAATGGTGTTCTTGACAGGAGCAATTTTTGTGGGGTGGTAGGGATGGAAGCCTGATTGGAGTGGGTATAAGAGAGAACTGTAGGCAGAAAGGTCATTGGAAGAGTTTTGCTATGAAAGAGCAGAGAAAGGGGTAGTAGCTAGAGGGAGAATGGGAATAGTATGTGTTGATTATATTGATTTTTCTAATATCAGAGAAATGAGAACATATTTTCACATTGATGAGAATCATACAGCAGAGGAAAATAAAGATGCAGGAAAGAGGATAGGAAAATTGATGAAGCAATGTCCTTGGCTTCCTAGGGAGGACTTTCTGTGCAAAGTTGGAAGGGTTGGCTTTAGAATAGTGCACACACAGTGGGGCTCAGATCATGGTGGGTGGATGGAAATGGTGGTGGAGGTTGTGGAAGTGTTCTTCTGTTTGTTCCTGCTTCCTCAGTGAAGAAAGAAGCAAGACCGAGGGTGTTTGAGAAGGTATTAGAAGTTTGAGAAGAGAAGAGGATGTGAGAAGTAGAAATATAGACAGTGGGGAGTGAATGGACCAGGAAAATGGGCTTCTCTTGAGTTTTATGGTCTGACATTTAAAGTGAAATCATTTAAATGATTGCTCATCTCCATGTTCATCTATATAGGGTATCAATAGAATAAGAGGAATATTGGAATTATGTTTAGGGTCTTGTCAAAAGAGTGGAGATGGTATATAAGAGTATGATTAACATGACAAACCATGGAATTCTAGCTATATTAAGAAGATAAGTCAGGTCCTGAGAGAGGTTGGGGGGAGCAGGGGAGGTCAGTGAAAAAGGTTTAAGATCAATGGGTTATAAATGCAAGTGGAATGGAAATTTTATTGGCGTTGGAAAACTAGAGCAAGTGATCTGGAAAGCGCTATACAGAGAGTGGGAAGCTTTAAATCATTATGGAAGATTCTGAAAGATTTGCAGTTGTTGGAAATGCAATGCCAAGGTCGGACATGGTTATGAGAGCAAAATGGCTGAAGAAAGGTGAAGGTCAAGGTCATTGGGAAAGAGATCATGAAAGTGAGAGGTCAGGATGTTTCAAGAGATGCTGAAATCATCATGGATTGAAGCATGAGTAGTAGTGAAGTGTGTGGAACAGAGCCTGGACAAAACTCAGAGTAAAGAGGAAGACTGACCTGGGGATAAGCAGAGGATTGCACTACACAGAGTGTAGTGTTTTTTAGTGTAGATTTTGTTAACTATTTCATAAATGGATCAATATATTTAAAAAATAAAAGCCTTGTGGAGTGATAACAGGAACTCCATTTTATGCCCTAGAAGCTTTATCTGTATTATCTAATTTTATACTTATAACTACTGACATATTGTTTCATCTCTGTTTTGCAGAGGCATGGGACACCAAGGCTTTGAGCTAATAAACCGTACCCTACTAATAAAACTAACACAGAGCAGATGAGA